CTTGCCAGTGCTCCTTTCACCAATATATTTCTCAATGCCTCTATGAATAAGGCAAATGTTTTTTGGGCTGTCTTGGAGGATACAGTTTGGGGATGGATGAGTGAGTTGCACATAGTGAATCCAGTAACACTCTTACCTCCCTAAGTCTTTGGATTTCTTCCTCATAATTCCTGGGAATTTATGGCACCTCAATTTTATTTAGGCCTTTTAGGCACTGTTGAATTCAGATTTTGATGAACACAAAGAGGTTAGAACCATTCTAGGCTGCACTCTGAGCCAGGATATTAATTTCTAAATTCTCTGATAAGCATATCCACATGATAAATTTGACCCAATCTAAAATTATGTTCCATTAACCCATAGAATCTATTAATCCAGATAGTTCTTAGATTTCTATTAATATAAAATCACAAAATATTGTAATTATTTTAGTATGTAAGCCTTCTCCTCCTTGGGTAAGATCTTGACCACTTCCCACTGGGCAATGCTAGGATCTGACTCTAGTTATAGATTTGGAGAACATTAGATTGGCAAAGGTGGGAAATGAGGAAAACTAGCACCCACTTGCAAGGCAAGATCATTGCCAGGTGTCCTATCAAAGCAGGACCGGTTTTATTAGACATGGAAAATGGGCTGCTTCTGTTGGTAAGAGAGGTTCAGTAGTGTTTTTGTGTTCAGGATACTTAATTGTATTCAGATAAACACAAATGTTCCCATGCCAATTGATAGAGTCTTACCTTTACCCAGCTAATGTCCTAACTTTCATGGAAGATTTTTGGAGAGACTGAAATTCAACTTATGTTGTAATTCGTCCATTTTCAAAATCAGACTCTGGATCTGATATTAGGCTATCAACTCTGTGGCTATCATTTCCAGCCTTTTGGCTAAGATCAGGTGCAGCTCTGTAACTACAAGAGATAAGATGTTATTTTGGGGCAGCCATAAAATCTCTCTATTTCTGATCCTGCCTAGAGTTGAGAATTTTGAATATTGACCTTGTCACATTATTTAAGTCTCCAGCACAGTCAGAAACAGCCAGCCTACTCCACAAACCTTATGGTTATCATTATCATTCTACTATAAAACTCTGTTAAAGCAGCTACTTGGTCTGTGAAAACTTTGCCTTCAAACCCAACCAAAATTCTATATGTCATATACATATTTGTACACACATACACACACACACACACATCAGGACACTAATCCTTTGTCAGTTAAATAAGTTTCAAATATATTTTCTCAGTCTATTACTTATCTTTTAATGTTTTGATGCTGTCCTTTGCCTTCAGAATCTTTAAATTTTTATGTAATCAAATTTATCAATATTTTCATATGTGATTTCTGCTTTTTGTGTCTTGTTTAAGAAAGTCTTTGTCACCACAAAAATTTAAAGACAATCTTTTATACTTCATTCTAATAATTTAAAGGTCTGTTCTTTACATGCAGTCTTTAAAATATCTGGAGTTTATTTTTATGTATGGTGTGAGGTGAGCATCTAATTTATTTATTTTTTCATATGAAAGTTAATTGTCTCAATGCTATCTATTGAATACTCCATGCTTTCCTTATTCTATACAACAAATACTCAAACCTATTATGTGTTAGATATCATTCTATGAACTTAAAATACTGTATTAAAAACACAGACAAAAATATTCCTATTGGTATTGTGAATTTTATTTCATTAGATCTGTTAGAGTCTAACAGACTATTCCTGCCCTCACGAAACTTATACTTTACTTCAGGAAGATATATAATAAATATAATAAACAAGTATATTATATAATATATTGGAAGATGATGTGTTATAAAAAAATTAAACAAAGTAAAGAAAATTTGGAGTGCTGTGTTGGGAGGGAAGGTTATAAATTTAAATTGGGTGGTCTGGGTTGGTCTTGTTGAGAAGTTGACCTTTGGCTGGAGATTTGAAAGAAGTGAGGGACTTGGCACATGAATATTTGGGGAATAACAAAAGCTAATACTAAGATCATATATACTATGTGCCAGGGTCTGTTCTAAGCACTATACATAAATTTGCTCATTTAGTCCTCATAACAACTGAGATAGGTACTGTTATTATCATAACTCCCATATGACAGATGGGTGAATTGAAGCATGGAGAGGTTAAGTAACTCACGCAAGGTCCTCAGCCAATAATTAGTAGAGTCAAAACTTGAACCCAGGCAGTCTGGCTCCAGAATCCATACTCTTACCACTGCATTACAATATAGCAAAGTTCTGTTTATGCTGGTATCTGTTTTGTTCCATTGATCTTTGTCCTCCAGGCTAACACCCCACTATCTTCATTACTATAGCTTTATAATAAATCTTGATAGGGTAATTGTTGGCTTCTAATGCCTCTTTTTTAGAATGATCTTGGCTATTCTTGGAGCTTTATATTCTTCTACAAAAATTTTGGCATCAGTTTTTGGGGTTTCACAAGAATTCCTGTTGGAATTTTTATTGGAATTTCTTCATACATTCGAATTACTTTGGGGAGGACTGATGTCCTTACAGCACTTCATCTTGCCATCCATGAGCATTGTCTCGCTCTACATTTATTCCCAACTTTTGTTATGTTCTTAAATAGTTTTATGATTTTCTCAATAAGGATCGCTATATATATTTGCTGGATTTATTCCTAGGTACCTTATAGTTTTGTGGCCCCCATAAACATCTATATACATTCCAACCTCACTTCCTATTTGCTTACTCTGCCCCACACCAGACCCTACTCTCTGTACTTCTAATCAGTAATATAAAGTAACAGTTCTTTTGGTGTGTTTTTGTATGTGTATCTATGATGGATGGTCTTTGTTTCCTGATCCTGCTCGTTAAACTGAATTTGATTAACCCAGACTGGAGCATATCAAGAAAGATCTAAATGCTTTTCCTTCATGATTTTTGCAAGATGCATAGTCCTTTCCTACCTCCTCAATGAGTCTTCAAGTCCCTCAAGGGCAGTGATGGATGTTTCCTACTCTGTATCTTGCTTGTGATACTGGGCACATGGTAATTACTCAAAAGGTCTTACTGCTACATTTCCTACACCGAGTTGGTTGCTACTCTTTTCTTTCAATCTCTTCACTCCATTGAGCCCTCAACCATGATTCTCCCTTGATCTTCAAAGTTGATATCCATATTTAAAAATGCACTTTCCTCCTAGACTTGTACCTGAGACTTTCTCTTCTGCCAGTGGTCCTTTTCTACCAAGGAAGTAAGGAAAAGGGTCTTGGTGAGTAGCTGAGAGTTCTTTGAAAAGAAATATCTTTATGAGATGATCTAGTTCAGTTTTTGTAAAAGTTTTTTTTCACAGAACATTAGTCTATGAAATGCTCTGGGGGGAATAAAAGATTTCAAGCTTTAAAAAATAAATGGAAGTCCTTTATAATAAATTGTTTTCTTGGAGACTCGTGCCATAGTTTAATGATATTAAAGGCCCTGATAAGTTTTACAATAAAGAAAACTAACTTCGTTTAGCCCATCACTTTTCAAACATTTTTGATCACAGAATTTTTTTTCTGCTTTTAAGGAACAGCTATTAACCACATACCTCACACTGGGAAATATTGATCTTGTCCATCCCTCTGCTCTCTGCTATATATATTAATATAAAGCAGACGAAGTCATTTGTCCTAGGCTGTCACCTAAAGACATAGTAGTATTGCAAAGCCTACATCATGAGGAAATTTCCTCTAAAATATATTCCAAATCCTTCATGTTTAAGTTTTATCATCCCATCCATTCTTATATCCTTACTGGAAATAAAATGACTTTGAGTTCTGATGCCAAATCAATTGCTGCATATTTACTGAAATGTTTACAATGTGTAAGAAAGAAGTTTTAAGACATTAGCCTTGTCAGAATTTCCATATTTCCCTGCTCTTATTCCTTGATTTTTCTCTGCCTCTGACCTGAATAATCCTGATTTTTCAAGAGGTGGCCACAATGTAAGGCAACAACACATGGAAGAGAAAAAGGCAAACACATGTACTCCCTTGAGGTACTTGTTTAGAAACCAGGAAACCAGCAGCAAGGTATTGGGAGGACTTAACCGGGCAGATTGCATACTTGAGGATGTCCACCCAACTAACATAGCTCAGGCTTTGCTGAGTCAACACCTGCCAAAGAAGAAAGACGATCATATTTTTTATCCCACTTTGAGGCAGCTCACAGTAAAACACATGCACAGAAAATGCTTAAATATAAAAGATCAACAGCTTTATATAAAAAGGAGGGGTCATTGTGCTAGGAATCAGACCTAAAATAATTACTGAACATGCTATTAGCTCTGAGTGTCCTGGAAGCCAAGCAAAATGGAACCATGGTAGTTTAAGACTGCTGCATATCAATGCATGTAGCCTCAATTGTGAAGATGATTGGGTCTCCCTTGCCCCCAATTTAGTCTCTCACCTTTCTCTTCTTCTGTTTTATAGTTTGGTCTGATCTAATGAGTTCAATTTGAATGCTTCCTTATTCTTTATAACGTACTTGATATAAAGAAGCCAGTTAGTGACAAATAGGCAGTTTGAGGAGAAATCTGCTAATATTTATCTTGTGGCCATCAGACTCACTACACATAGAAATGTCTCTGGGTTGGGTTTGAACTCTCAAACTCTCAAAGGTAAACAGATTTCATTAACCAAATTCTTACACTAAGCTAAAATGTTTTGGGGGTCTTTTTTCCACTCTATCTTCCATGATATTCCAGAACTATTTTCCCTTGTCTTGTCTTTTTCCTACCCCTTATTCTATTCCATTGATCTCATTTCAAAAACAAACAGTCGTTGGATACATGAACTAAAATGCCTTAAAGAAGCTACAGATTTGATTTTTTTCTCTCTCAAGGGGTAAAAGGAAGACAGCTATAATTTCTAAGAAGCCTGGTTTAGCTGTCTGAGTCAGGCCCCCAGGCAGATTAGGCCAAGGTTTTGGCCAAGTGAAATTGCCAATTTTCTAAAAGAAAGGACTAGCACATTGCTCATTAGAGCATTCTGAACTTGCCTGTGCAATCTTTTTGCTACCCTGCAATTTCCTGTTGGTTATAAATGAAACCTTTCTAGCTGTTAATGCAGGCTGTGAATTGAAAAAAAAAAAGCATGTAATTAATCATAGGAGGTTGGGGGGATTCACTAAGCCTGAGTTACAAGGGAGAAGCTGGACAAGGCACTAGGACCTAGAAGGCATCCATCCACCCTGGCAGGAATTTCTTGCTTGGAGCTCAGACAACAAAGGCATAGAGAGATTGGTTTTCTTTCTCTCAGCATCTCCACCCAACCAGCAGAAAACCGGTGAGTGGGGCTTTCGAGTGATTTTCAAGCAGAATGTAACAGATGTCAAACGGGAAAAGCACAAGGCGAAACGCGCGCTCTGTCTGTCTCTCTCCTTCTCTCTCGCTCCTCTTCTTTTTTGCATTATTCTATTTGATTTTTTTCCCCAAGCCTCTACCTGGGATTTTCCTTTGGAAAAGTGAGTTTGATGTTCCTTTGTTTTCACTGTGATGTTAATTTAGAATAATACTACCTCTGATCCTAAAAGCAAAGAAAAGCTTTAAGCCTGGGGAAATGCTTGCTACTTGTCTTGAGGAGGTGGGGTCTCTTAGCACTGCAGGTTGTCTGACAGAAACAATGCTGAGCTCAGCATAGGTCATGGTGACATTGGGAAAAAAGGGGGACTGAGCCTGGCAAACCCACTAGGCACCAGTCCTTCTTTATCTCCTGTCCTCCTGGTCCCTTGCAAATATCTTGATGTGGCAGTGTGTAGCAGGTGAGCCCTGCTTGCTTTGTGAGCCCTTTTATCCCCATCTGTGAGATGCATGTTAATAGTTTGGCTCTTCGGATGTCACTACCTTTGCTAGCGTTCAGGGCTTCGGTTGAATTTGGTTGTATGTTTTCATTGTTTTGGGGTTTTTTGCGGGGGGAGTTCAACAGAAGGGGGAAAAGCAAAGCCTGGCAAATGACCATCTTTTGCCTCAGCTAAAACACCTGGGCAATAGACAAGTTTAGGGTGAATTGCCTGAATTGTGAGAGCAAAATGCCCCTTCCGTCAGGAGGGAAACCCAGAACAATGAAAGGTGTGCTTGCTTCTAAAGGTCCCATATGCTGTTCAGAGACTCATTTGGGAATCTTTCCACAATTAAATTATTCCATTAAGAGGTGTTGCTGCATCGGTGGGGAAGGGATGGAGCACCTGGAAAAGAAAAGCATTTTGTGACCAAATGGTACCAGGGGGAAGGCAGAGCTAATAACTTGTTAAATAACTGATTTTTCTAATCCTTTTTTTTCCCCCAGTTTATTTCTTATGAATGTTGGATAGCTGCACCAGCTTGGTGGGGAAAGGGTTTGATGAATAGCACAAAGACACTGGCTATTCCCTGGAGGCTGTCCCTTTAAAGGAGAATCTTAGTTTATTCTGGGGGGAGGGGATGCACGCAGTAGAGTAGGAAAGAGGGCTTGGAATAAAATTAAAACACTCCCCTTCATAGTCATTGTACTGAGGTGCAAAGACTGCTTCCTAAGCTAGAGATGCTAACCTTGGCTAGCTCCTTCTGTTCTCTTCAAGGGGAATTTTGTCAGGCTATGGATTCATTTACAACTGTTAGTCATGTGGGCATGTGTGAGGAAACAGATGCCAGTTATAATGTATTTAGCCCGAAGTTACAATTTGATAGGAGCCACTGTCAGTAAGTCCCAGGATTTTCAGCTATTTCAAAATCCCTCCCTCTCCTGTTTGGAATAGTGCCAAGAGTGCCTCCCTCTCTATCTCTTATTCCCAACCCCCACAACCACCAGCACCCCCGCCCAGCCCCTCCTTCTTCTCTATTAAGATCAATATTCCTGCAGGTCAGGGGCAAACAGCAGATGGGTCACGGGCTTTTTTTCAACCAGCTCTTTTCACAGGCAGCAGATTGCAGATCTGGATCTGGCTAATATTTGAATTCCTTTCTTTTTTTTTCCTCCTCGCCCCTTTTTCTTTGCCTCTCTTCACCCCCATCCCTTTTTTCAACACTCAGGTCTTTGAGGTTTAACCAAAATATGGAACTTGATTTTGGACACTTTGACGAAAGAGATAAGGCATCCAGGAACATGCGAGGATCCCGGATGAACGGGCTGCCTAGCCCCACTCACAGCGCCCACTGTAGCTTCTACCGAACCAGAACCTTGCAGGCACTGAGCAATGAGAAGAAAGCCAAGAAGGTACGTTTCTACCGCAATGGGGACCGCTACTTCAAGGGGATTGTGTACGCTGTGTCCTCTGACCGTTTTCGCAGCTTTGACGCTTTGCTGGCTGACCTGACTCGATCTCTGTCTGACAACATCAACCTGCCTCAGGGAGTGCGTTACATTTACACCATTGATGGATCCAGGAAGATCGGAAGCATGGATGAACTGGAGGAAGGTAATTCAAGTAGTGGGTGGTGGCCCTTGGTGGGAGGTGGCGTCATTGGTTATGGTCACATTCTTGGGTTGCATTGAAACAAATTAGGCAGTGTATTTGTCCAAGCACCAGTTTGATTGATGCTCAGATTTTTGATTCTATAGGCGTCAACAGAGCCATTAGCCATCACCCTTCATGGCCTTCAGTCTTTGCTGGGGTTGAAGTGTGGATGGTGATGATAATGCATTGTGTTTATCTACCAGAGTATACAAAGGGAAATCTTAATTGTGGTATTTACTCTAGATCTTGTTCATAATTAACTCTGAGTAGCACTATTGAGGCAGAGCATAAAATCAATAGGGGTGTAACGAGGACGGACATTTTGTTGGGTTAACAGAGAAAATATTATGCCCAAATTTCCTTTGAACTGCTGAGAAATTATTTGTGAATTGTAACTCATTGGAGAGATGCACCCCAAGAACAGGACTTCGTGGACATAGTCACAGAGGATTATTCTTTTAGGTAAGTGGTCACTGCTCAGCTGTTGCTTCTAAAAAGCCCACTTAAGGGTGTGTCCCTAAGGCTGAGGTCATTGGGAGAAATACCAAAGAAAGCTGTAGGTATGTCTGGTATTTTAATAAAGACCATTCCTATTAGAATAGGAATGGATTCACTATACCTAAATCCCTTTAAATCCTCTCTAGATTTTGGTATTGCAACTAAATTTTCTGAATAGACGTTGAAAATCCTGACAACCTGTGTACCTGTCCCCAAATAGGGAAAATCTCAGCTGTCACCAAAACTTGCTTATCCATAAAGTCTTCTTTGTGATCATTTATAAAATAGATCTTGAGTTATGTTCTTAACATACTACATTATCAAATCAATTATATTGAGGGTGCTTTCCTATCCCTACTTTTAAATTGATTGGTGTAACATATGTAACTAATTTAACCTAATGCACTGCTTTAAAGAATAGCCTTAAGGAATGGTGATAATGAAAATGTTCCTCCTCAAACCCCTCCCCCCATTATCCATTCTTCCCACCTCACTCCCTCCATTCCCTGAGCAAAGGTGAGTTTAGATCTCTAGGGAAACTAAATTATCAAATGCACAACAAGGAAGGAGAAACAGCACATTAAATGACTTGGTATGTGAGTAAGCTGCCTATGCTTCACTGCTTCTAAGTTTTTTGTGTTCCTAGACAAAGGAGCATGAGGGCTTCCTGTGTACAAGACCCCAGTTCTCTCCAGTAGCTGCTGTTTCCCAAGTAGTCATGCCGAGTGATTGGGGCCAGTTACTTATGAGAGATAGTGTCCATATGGTTGCTGAGTCCACATGGTATCTGAGTCTCAGGGTTCAAGTCTGAGATTTTTCTACGTAGCTGACCTTGAAAAGCAATGCCCAGGAGGCTTAGATTATTTGGTCGTGTACTGAATGGAAAGGCAGAGGTTAATCCTAGGCCTTTCCCGACCATCAAAGGATTGGCCATCTCAGTGCATATCTTAAAATAAAGGAGAGTCAGGGCAAACTTGAAGGACTTGAAGGTAGGTCAAGGGAGCTGTCCAACAGAGTAATTGTTAGGGTGTGTGTCTTTTGTCACTGTAAAATCCATATCTCAGTCGAATTCGAGGGATTCTCTGTAATAACTTTCACAAACAAAGCACTCTGAATCATCCAATATGCCCTCATTTCCACTTGCTGTGATATTCTAAAGACCATAATAGATGCTAGGACAGAATTCTGAACCAAATGCCATTGTACTCAGAGCAAGGCTTAGAATATTCTCATGTCTGGTATAAGAGAGGTGTTAGGCGCAGATTTTTCCCCCAATCCATTTTCACATATTGATTTTTCTCTCTAGGGGTGTGTTGTGTGTGTGTGTGGTGTGTGTGTGTGTATGTTGGGAGACAACTGGTGATAAATAATCTCAGTTCAATATAGGTAGGTAATAAATGTAATTTGAAAAGACTGCAGCTTTCTTTTCCCTTGATTCCTTTGGAGTCCTGATAGATTGGACTCCTCTCATCTATCACTCCTGGGTGCAGTGGTAGTTCCTGGTGAATTCTCCGACTACACAGAGTGTGAATAGGGCTCGGTTGCCTTTGTTCATATGTCATCTACAACTACAAGTCACAGTGGACTTCAATGCCCTTCCAGGCCTGAGGACTGCCCATTCAGTCAAGGAAATTCAAGGATATCTCTGGAATAGTGTTGAGAAATGTGATCAGTTTTTCCCACTGCCACAGAGCCAGATGGGAAAGGGCACTGGGATGAAGAGAATAAAGAAAATGGGCCATTTTCCCTCCTTTTTGTCCTTTAAAACTACTCATCTAGGAATGGAGAACAGAAGTTCACTTTGTTCACCTTTGAAAGAGGTTGAATCAAAGATCAAAAATTTATACACTATGTCATCTTTTGTGCTTCTATCACTTAGAATAATGTTGTCAGTGTTTATCTGTGTTGTACCATGTATCAGCACTCCATTCCTTTTTATGGAGGAATAATATTTCATTGTATGTATAGACCACATTTTGTGTATCTCTTGTGAATAATATTTTAACTGTAAAATGAGACTAGGAACACCTGCCTTCTCTGTGCATGAGGGTGGTTGTGAAGATAAAATTAGATAATGAATATGGAAACACATTGACAAGGTAAAATTATAGCTCCAGGTACCATTATTATTAATGATATGAAAATAATAATAATGAAAATAATAATGATGATGATGATGATTCTAGTGAGGGGTTGTAATGGCCAGTGGTTTCTAAACCTATCTGCCTTTCAAAATCTTTCAGAGCTTTAGAAAAATATATATTCCTGGGCCACACCCAAGATCTATTGAATCAGAATCCCCAGGGCTAGGGCCTCAGAACTTGTGTTTTTACAAATCTTCTCAGGTGATTCTTAAGGGCACTTAGACTTGGGAAGTATTAGATTAGGTGATCCCGATGGTCCCCTTCAGCTAACTATAGTAGTAGGAATGTCTAGGGATGCAGAAATCTTTGTTTTGGTTTTTTCTTTGTAGATCTTAAAGGAATAATGGGGCATAGAACATACTATGTTTCCAAATGGCCACATTATTACATATTTAACCTAAAAAGAAATTAAATCAAAAGCAATGGGTTAACAATTATTCTGGCCCTGTGGCACCCCTTTGTCAGTGCCTCTAGTCTGCTGTCTGCTGCTAGATACTGAAAGTATCAAGGGGAGCATTTTGGACCAAAGTTGGATTATTGATGTCAGCTTTCCCGCAACTCCTTGGGTACACCAAGGGTCTTAGCGAAACCATGTAGGATGTGGCCCTCATTAGCTAAATCCTAGGAGGTCAATGAATGAAACCCAGTGGTTGTTTTTCTTTTGTCATGTCTTTCCTTTGCTTTTCATTGTTGAATCTTTCTCTTTCACCTATATCTTGTCCAATCCTTTTCCCATTTCCTTGTATGTGAGTATACAGATCAATCTTGGGGGTATAATTTATGACTAGCCAGCTTTTCTGAACCCAAATTCAGACAAGTCTGAGAGTTACTATGCTAACTGTGGGACAGAATATTTACAATTGGAACAGTCTTGGAAAATCTGAGCTGTATGGTGACACTGGCTATGATCCAGTTCCTTTGCCATAGTTCATTTGTTCCAATGAGATGGAACCACTTTCTCACTAATTTATCCTGTAACTACTAAAGCAAGCACATTGTCAAAGACAAAAGTTTTAAGATACCTTGGAGGGATGCATTGTTAATAGATATGATAATACAATAAAGTATCATTTCATATTTTCCTTCTTAAGTAAGGAAGCCTCAGAGAAGAGGAGAAAGCCCAGACAGAAGTGCTTTTGCACTGAGAAGATATAAATGTGCTTAATGGTTTTGAAAATGGAGCCCTCTTGAAAGAGAAGGGAGGTAGACATTAGATCATCTTGAGCCCACAGCTTGTTCCATGCCTTCCCTTTCAGCTGTGCTTCGCTTACATGACTTCATTTCCTTACCCCTTCACCCTAAAGCAGGTTTTCAATTCCAGCAAATTGTCACCTTTCTTGGCTCTGAAACTAGCTTTCCTTCTAGGCCCTCAGCGGGTGGGAAATGGTCCCTGGAAGCTGTGGCAGGATGGGAACCCAGCTGTGTAAAGGTGCAACACATCTCACCCAGCTCCAAGTGCCAGGCAGCTGGACATGCAGGAAGCACAGAGCTCTGGCAGCAGACATTGCAAATGTTTGCAAAATCAGAACAAGGAAGTCTCAGTCTAGCAAAGCGGCACATTTGATATCTTTCCAGTAGTAGAAGTGGAGAGTCCTTGGTGGTGGGACATCTATTTCTTTAACATGTAATTACCATAGCAGCTTTGTTTCCTAAAGCCTGTTGGAGGTGGAAAAGAGAAAAGAATTCCTTCTTATAGACTTTTAGGCCTAGAAGGGACTTAGATGTCACTTAGTACAATACCTTCAATTTATCGATGGAAAAGCTGAAATTCAGAGAATTAAGTGATTTGCCTGAGGTCACACAGCTCCTAAGTGCCTGACTGAGATTTGAACTCAGGTCCGTCTGACTCCTGAGACACTACTATTAACCACCATAAATATCCTGCCCGCAGTGAGCATCAACAGTGGCTTTGCTGGATGTTAGCCTTAAAACTCCTACATTTGGCATTTGCCACAACTGAAAGCCCTATCCCAAGCAGTGGGAAATCTTATCTTTGAAGCACCGGCCCCCAGCAGTGCTCGTGTTGTATAATGATCACAGCTCAGCTCCTAGATGGCTGCCCTTGCTTCTTTCCCTTTTCTTTCCTTCAGCTTCTACTCCTCCTCTATTCATTTCCTTTCTCTCAGCTCTTTCTTCCTCTTTTTCCTCTTTGCTCTTTCTTTCTTGATCTCTCTTCTATACCTTCAGATTAGGGGCTTAATAATAACAATAATAATCTATCAAGTACTTACTATGTTCCAGGCTCTGGGCTCAGCACTTTTTGTCTGTCACCTGATTTGTGCCCCACAACAACCCTGTGGGGTAGGTATTGGTTCCTATCACTCCAACTTTGCAAAAAAGAATCTGAAGCCAAGGGAGATTAGGAAACTTGTCCAAGGACACACAACTAAGAAGTGTTGGGGACCCCATTCTGACTGACATCACATCAGCTGCTCTTTTTCCATTACTCCATGTTCAGGTACCATCGGAAGGTGCTCAACATAGATTTGTCTGAGGGCTGGGCCCTCTACAAAGTTCTTGGGTGCCATATGATACTATAGCTGTTACCATCATGTTCATTTTCATCTGGGGGTGGTTAATCACACTTATAGTTCAGAGGCTTAAGAGGTTTAAGAGATGGGAGCAAAAAAAGTCCAGAGTCCTAATAGGGCTACACAGCTGACTCTCTAGAGGAGACTGAATGAGTGAAATCATAAATATACAGCCTCACACATTTCCACACCACCAGTTGTCTGACAGAGTTTTAAAGTACATGACAAGATATGGAAAACATCTGACTCCAAGGCAATGACCTCTTGGAAGGTGCCCATGGATCTGGTGAAGTGCTAAGGCAAAAGGCCATTTCCTAGTGTGGGGAATATTGACTGTAAATATATGGAAGAGCTGAAAGCGCCCTTTTATCCTATTAAGATGCAAATTAAAGACTCCAGCCTCTAATCACTTGGGTTGGGTTGGGTTGGATTAGCCAGCAAGAAAGCCAGAGAAATCAGAGTTTCTCTTGGCTGGGGTCTTTGACCATTCCATCAAGGGTGTCCATGGGTGTACAAAGTGGGGGAAAGTGCCTGTGCTTTCTTACAAACCATCCTTGTTCTGTCAAGACAGAACACTAGCAGCTTCTGAGACTGAGTGAGGCTTTGGAAGCCACTTTGCATATGTCGGATGCCACTTACCTTCCCCCTCCACATACACACACATAAATGTCCTCAAAGGCACCCTGGAGATTCTGGCTGAACCTTCTCTTAGCACTGACTGAGAAATTTATTAATTAACGTGACTTAAAGGATTTGGAGCTACAGCAAAGCAATCAATATTCACAAAGGGAATGAATTATCAGCCTGGTGTTTCTGAATGTCTCTGTGCGGTTCTCCTGCCGAGACCAAAGGAGAGCCATCGGATTATAATTGTGTTTAATGCTTTCTTTGCACTGGCCAGGGTTTATTTATTTATTTAGGGTTATTACTGATGACTTAAGTCTGATTAAATCACACTGTTTCTGAAGCTCAACCTCCAGGTGAACTTCTGTATACCTTGAGGCTAATGTGTTTTACTCCACATATTCAACCTTTTCCAATATTTTCTCCCCCAGGCTGAGCCTATCTGTCTTCCTTTTTTCTCCAGCTTCTAGTCCCTGGTGTCCAATCTACCTTCTCTTGCCTCTGACCCCTGCATTTCTTCTGCTGTATTAGTCATTTCCTCTAGCCCAAGGTAAATGTGAAAATTATACTAGATCCCTTCAATCCATAAATCAGGCTGCATAATGTATTGTCACATCTCCACCTCATTACTTGTGGCAGCCGAGGGTGAGGACAGGTGAAGATGGCCCTGAAAACAGATCTGGTGTGCAGCATTTGGGAGGATGGAAAGATGAGAGGTGGGTGGTAGAAAAAGGAGAGTTTTTCAAGCGAGAGCTAGACTTGCAAACACTAGGAATGTTCTGTGTGCATTTGTATGTACAGGTTGTTATTTAGACAATTTCTCTACCTGGGTGTGGGGGTGAGCAGTAGAAGACACACTTATACACACATATACACATTCAACACATGCACACACACATTTTACATTTCAGTATTCCACTGCTTGGCCATATACTCTGTGCAAAGAACAATCTGGCTTCTTGTCTAGTATGTACTGTATGCCCAGTATGCAAGGTTATTTGGTTCACCTTAACTTGGAATAAAAAATGTTTCAACTTTGCAAATTCTCCTTGGTTCATAATATAACAGAGGGATGGAGTTATGAGTCCAAAAACAGCACAGGAACCTTAAGAAATAGAGAGGTTAAAAATGCTCCAGTAATACCCCAAGGAGTTAAACATCTTAGAAACTAACATAAACGTTTAAATTCCAATAAAAGCATATCAAGCTTGAGAATACCACTGTTATATTAAACCTAGAAGTGTTCATTGTCCTTAAAACCCTTAACTTCATAGGGTTTGTCTACTAGGTATGCCATTATATTGAAGGATGTTTTGCTGATTACTTATTCTTGAATTTGAGCCGAGTTGTTAGAGAGCCCAATTAGGAATTACACCTAAGGTTGGTTATTATCACCATTTCTCCAAAAGTTCTACTCCAATGTCAGTTTTGTTAGAATAGTCCATATATCTGCTGTTAACTAATCACCCAACTACTTATTTCTTCCCTTAGGGGAAAGCTATGTCTGTTCCTCAGACAACTTCTTTAAAAAGGTGGAGTACACCAAGAATGTCAATCCCAACTGGTCTGTCAACGTAAAGACATCTGCCAATATGAAAGCCCCCCAGTCTCTGGCTAGCAGCAACAGTGCCCAGGCCAGGGAGAATAAGGACTTTGTGCGCCCCAAGCTGGTGACCATCATCCGCAGTGGGGTGAAGCCTCGGAAGGCGGTGCGTGTGCTTCTGAACAAGAAGACAGCCCACTCATTTGAGCAAGTCCTCACTGATATCACTGAAGCCATCAAACTAGAGACCGGGGTTGTCAAAAAACTCTACACTCTGGATGGAAAACAGGTAGGTACTTTTTCAAAGTACTTTTCTTATTTTTTCTGAATGCTTGGATGATCATGTTATACCTAAGACATCATTTCTAGTTGAGGGACTCTTTCTCCATGTCTCATCCTCCCTACCTGATATTACATGGTTCATTTGGAGAAAAGGTCTTTTCAGCAGGCAAAGCAATGGATCAGGATTCTGAGGCTCTGAAATTCAATCTGCTTCTGATTTACAAAGTAGAATGGTCACTTAGCCTCAGCTTCCTTATCTGCTAAGAAAAGATGTGTTAGAACCTAGGTCCTACAAATTCTTATAAATATGAATTTATCTATTATGGGATTTAACCTTGATTTTTTCAATACGTGTGGCTAAAAATGAGATTTTCCCATTCATTTCTTCTTAGATACCCTCACATTGGTATTCAGCATCCATTCTCATGAAAGGAAGTTGAAGTGACCTTTATATGCTATAAAAGAAGTCAGCTATGGGGGAAGCACAGAAGCCTCTGGCTCCTTGTCTTCGCCTCACACTAAACCATATTTGTTCTCTCTCCCTTTCCCATGTGACATAGCTGTCTTAATTTGGTTCCACTGATGGTTTGTGTGAGAAAGGGACTATTTCAAGATCCTAAAATTAGCCTAAGAAAGATGCTGCCATCTGTTCCCCTCCAAATCAGGTTCTTCATGTCATTGGTTATGCTACTAAAGTGCCACCTATATTAATATCTGGGAAAGAATGCAGCCAGGCGTCTCCATAAGACAGATGCACCATTCTCTCGAGAATAGGGAGCTGTAAATATACAACAAAAATGTTCCAAGGGAATTGGAACAGTGGCTGGTTCTGCTGGCTCTAAAGAGAATCCTGGTCCCCCATCAGAAAAGACAAGTGTGGATTATTATCAGTTCATACATTTTACCTCTTAAAATACCTTTGGTGTTTGAACAACTATATAGAGTCTTAAAAAGCAAATTTGATATACATCAAAATGACTGATTTGTGTTCAAATGCAGAACTATGACTCCTCCCATAATTTCCAATATATAATGTGTACTCTAAGGGTTTAAGTTTCAGGGAAAACTCACTCATATATTATACACTTAGAAATTGTGACTTAGATTTGTGACTTCTGTTTCCCATAATTTTGTGATGTGAGAAATACCTGGAGGCATTGGTTATACCTGATTTGTGTCTGTTGTACCAAAGCAATGGGTTTACCTGTGATACTGGGAAAAGTTCCAACTCCCAAGCATTTCTCTAAGAGTATCTGTCTTCTGAGCACCAAATATATAATAAACAGGATCTGCCTAGGTATAGAATAATTGCCAAAGCATCTTCTTAGAGAAATAGGACCTAGGAATTTTAGAATCATTTGATCTCAGAGTTGAGAGTGACCTCTACACCCATTTCATAAGATAACCTATTTTACTGTTCAACAGCTATGATTTTTAGAAAGATTTTCCTTACATTAGGTATAAATCTGCTTCCCTATACCTTCAGCCTCTTGAAGTAATACAGCAAAATTACAAATCAAGGACATAAGACTAGGATTCAGAAGATTTGGTTTCTAGTTTTGATATTGTCATTTACTATATGATTTTGTACTATTCTTAACAATCCTGAACCTCACACTCCTCCTCTGTACAAGGGGACTGATCACACCTGCCTTGCCCATGCTCATAGGATTCTTATGAGGATCAAATGAAATAATGGATATGAAAACACTCTGTAAATTAAAAAACATGCATCTAATATGCATATAATTTACCATTAAATGAGACTTGCGGCAATTTACGTGTACATTAATAAATGTCATTTCTCTTTCTCTACTTTGCCTCCATCATTATTATTGCAAGTATCAAACATTTTGTGGAGATATAACATACCTTGGCATTCTGTTATTGTTCCTAGTAATATATAAAGGGACACCTCCATCTCCTAGGTAAGCAAGCTTTGGTCCAGTGATGAGCGGATCTTTATTGTACAGCAGGCTATGCAGAGTGGCAAACTCTCTCCAACTCCTTCAAGCATCAGTTCCCATTTCTTTGGGGAACATGTTACAAAATACCAGCATGTGATATGGCATGTATGTACAGAAATGAAGTGATGCTCAATGGAGCAGAACAATGCCCTTTCAAGCATCTGTACCTCTGTATATACAGCTCCTTCTCTTTAAAAGGTCTCCTTCTGCCCACCCTGATCCCTGGAGGTCATCTTTTAAGACCTGGTTCAAATGTCACTTTATCATTGAAGATTTCTGTCTCCACTAGGCAGAGTAAAAACAGACTTAACCCTTTTTTTATTATTAATGCTCAGCTCCTGGTTCATTGTGGATGCTCTATAAATGTTTGTTGATTGAATGAACTGACATAAAGAGATTCTCACATGGCCAAGGTAGATATTTTGAGAAGCCCTCTTGTCTCAATGCACCAGACACTATTTTTATGCCTATGAGAAGAGATGGGGGCTTCCAAAGGAGTGTATATTCCATTCAGGTAGCTCCTATCTGGTACTTTACTTGGAAGTTACTGAAGGGAGACATTTAAAGCAATATTTCCCAAAGTATATTTTAAGGAGAAATGTCCCTATCTGCCCACCCCAAGAAGCTCTCCAAAGAAGTGTTATGTGGTCAAATAAGGTTGTAAAATGCTGCGAGTTTTATGACTTTCTTAGAGATTCATAGTGCTCATTGGCACATTGACTATTCTGAGAAGTCTTACAGCAAGAAAACCAATTTAATTAGACCCAGTATTTCCCAATCTTATTTAACCACGAACATTTTTTGTGAGATACACACACACACACACACACACATAAACACATATATACATGCACACAAACACATACAGAGCACACTAGAAAATATTGTTTACAGAAAATACTGAATGATTAGGAACTACCCATCCAAAGTTTAATAGTAAGATTGGTATGCACAGGGTAACCCACAAATCAAACATTGTTGTGTTGTTACAGCAAGGACATTAAATAACAAAATTTGGGGGTGCATGGACAAACCCCCAAATTACAAAGTAGGTGCTGAGTATACTGAAAGTTGGAGCCAAGTTAAAAAATTTACAGCTCAGCTTATTTCCTGGTTCCAGTGATGACAACTCTAATGTTAATGCGTATCAGTCACTTTGATTATTGGTGGCTATTCTTACTACTTGGGAATATGATTTTTCTCTTTGGAGTCTGAAGGCACATGTGTTGCGATGGCTTGACTTGCTTGGCTGAGATTCTAATGTCTGTCTTTGGCTATGTGTGGCACGAGGCACTAAATTTGAAAGTACAAAGTATGGTCAAGGGTATTTATTATGGAATGTTTTATTCATGAAATCAAGGCCCTCATTTGATTTCAGTGTATGTGCTAAGTGGACCCCAAATTGACCAAATAAAGTGGTTTTCTCCCTTCATTTACAATGAATTCATAATGATCAGCTAAACGTGCCCAGTTGATTATACCAAATTTATTGTTGCTTCTGTAATCATGTGTACCATTTGACTGATTGGCTTACACTGATTGACAAGCAATCTGCAGACATGGCTTTCCTTTCTTTCTCTCTGTTTTAATTTTGTTTGGATGTGCTTTTGGAGTCCTTGATCTTTTTAGGGTTTATGTTTTCCTGGTATGGAAGATTGGTTTCCTGACCTCTTGCCTCTGAAATATTTGTGGTCTGTGTAGACAGGAAAGCTAACCATCACTAGTAGGAAGAATTCCCAATTGATTTCTCACCTCAGTAAGAAGTTGCTAATGGAATAAGTAGTTGGTAGGGCCCCGGCTCCTCCCAGGGGCTGCAGTGGATTTCTAGGAGGTCAAAGAGGACATGGCAGAGGGTTGGATGAAGTTCATATTAGTTCACCTTCAAGTCACATTATTCTTTTGATTCCTTGGCAGCTGGAGTGGTTGTAGAGCATTGACAAAATCATCCAACTATTAATTTCCGTAATCAAGCCACACACTGACCTTCATACATAAAGGTTATGGATACATAAAAACCGGGATGCAAATTTCTTGTCGACATGATTGAGGTGGTTCAATAGATACATGATCTAGCCTTAAAATAAATTGCAGAGCTTTAATAATAGACTTCCAGCTTTTTGGCATCATATACAGGGGTGCAGCTGGTCTTCACACCATCCATTTTCATGCTACACTGATTGGCATCTCTAGCTTCAGTTTTGTCTATACCCAGTGTCTGTGCAAGAAAAGATTCACTATTGCCTCAAGATATATGCCTAAGGCGTAAGTATGGCCTTTAGTACTTGCGTTAGCTTTGTTAGGCCAATTTTCAACTGGATAAATTTATTTCATGTTTATGTCTGTACCTTTTTAGTACTAACTACTTGGACCAGAGATTCTAAGTCTCAGAATAGTAGAGGAGAGGTTTAAGCTGATTCCAAGATTACCCATAGCCATGGAAACTAGAATAGGAGTTTTAAGGAAACGTTTGATGGATAATAGGTAGATGAGAGTATGAAGGATGTTTGAATTGCTGTTAAGTCTTCTAGGAAAGAGTTGCCCCTTCCATTTTGCCATACAAAATAACTGGGTGCTGTGAGCACAAAGGCAGTTGCAGGAGACACAGGAAGACAGGTTGGATTTAACCTTGGAAATTTTGAGTGCATTTCCCAAGGTGGATGTGTCTTTCCTTTGCCTATGTAGCCAGTTTTTTTCTCCCCTGTTCTCTCTGCCCTATCCAGTCATACCTGACATTACTTGTATTCCCTGGCCTCCAGCTCTCCCAGAGCCAACTCTGTCTCCTCCTAGTGTTATGACCCTGTCAGTCAACTTCGGACTCAATAAAAAAGGCCACGTGGCCATAAATTATGCCCCAAAAGGGAGGTCATTTATCATTGATCTTCATTTGAGAAAAATCAAGGCTGGAAAGGTGATGTTTGTATTACCGAAACTCTCACTTCCCAATCTTCTAGAGATTCCTGGAGACAGGCTTTGGGAGGATTGGCTTGAGCATGAAGTAGAAAAGAACAAAGGCAGAAAGCCAGTCTGGGCTCTATGAAAG